CGCCCAGCCTCTCCAAGAAAGCCCTTGCCTTCTGAAGAAGCCCCCCCCCGCCTCCTTAGGAGGCCGCCCACCTCGCGCGCCACCCTCCGCGCGGGCGCCGCCCGCCTCGGCGGAAGCGAGACGGCGGCCGGTCTCGTTGGCGGAAGGTCCTCGTCGGGGCCCCAGAGGCGGGGGTCCGTGCAAACGTCACCAAGCGCGCTCCACTACTCGCAAAGTGCCTACTCGCAGACGCGCGAAAGCATGTGTTTGCTTCGACGAGATCTATCGTAGATCCCCCGCGGCGGATCCAGGCCACCTGCGAGTAGTTCCTCTGCGGGCAGTGGAACGCGCTCGTCTACAGCGGGGGTCAGTCAGAGCGCCAGATCTTGCAGGATCCTGCAGGGCCAGTGGCGCACTGACCCGGGTTTGGGCGCGGGGCCCTGCCAGAGCCTGCAGGAGCGCTTGCGGGATGCTGCGAGGCCTGACAGTCGGGATGGACCCGGGGCCAGAAGATCCCCGACCATCGGAAACTTCTGGAATGAGAGCGATGCGCCACCATGTTGTTTGGACCCCGGGTTTCCAGAATCGGCCACGTGCGTTGCCAGCGCCTCCGCGGTCGGCTTTGGTCAGATCAGATGCCTCGTGCTCTCCGTCGGTCCACCCCTGGCGGAATGCTTTGTCCAGTCCCAGAATGCCTGCTTCGGTTTCGCCGTCCCGGGTGCCGTTTGCTGGCCCCAGGGCCGTCAGGAAGCGTTTTGGGATTCACAATTTGCCACCGCGAAGTGACCGAGGGCCCCAGGGAGCCCGCAGTGAAACAAAACTACTACGTCGAAGGTTTGTGCTCCTACCCGCGCAGCAGACTTCACATCTGATCCCAGCCCCGAGCACTCCGCGGACCCATTTTGCATCATGATTGCCATTTGCCTGGGCGGTTCAGGGGACTGGAAAGTTGCTTGGTTGTGGTATTTGTTCCCCAGCTGTCTTCTGATATCCACGTCGGGGGGGCTCTGGGGTTCGCCCAACGGACATCTGGACGGGTATCGTTTTCAGTCGTCGTCCGTGGAGGAACAGGTACATACACTTTCGGAGGTTCGCGCGGATTTCTTGGATTGGCGCTGGACCCCCCTTCCCTGGCGCGCGGAGCGCGCCAGGGGCGGTGCCAGAGGCACCGCCAGGGGGGCCCACCGCCGATCCGAGGTCGCGCTGACCTCCGACAGTTGACTTAAGCAATTGTTTGTTCCCCGCGTCCGCAGGGGTTGGAGGAGGGAGGAGGGAGGAGGGAGGAGGGAGGGAGGGAGGGAGGGAGGGAGGGAGGGAGGGAGGAGGGAGGGAGGAGGAGGGAGGAGGAGGAGGAGGAGGAGCCTTCGGCTCGGAGCCCAATCGTCTTCGCGAGACGCGCTTCCTGCATGCAATGCGGGTACGTGGGCTCGCTGGTGACAAG